GTCCATTGTATGCGTTGGGGGTCAAAGCTAATAGTCTTAGACAAGGTAATCACTTGCAGCTTTGGTCCTTTAGGTCTCAGCAAAAGCTTTGTTTTGCGCTCGTTTTGCTTCAAGGAGAAGGAAGTTCATTGGGAAATTTAGGGTTTCGAGCTTTGTATACCTTTAACTTTCTAGAAAGTCTTTTAGAACGGTGTATTTTTTTTTTTTACTATGAGAAGTAGATACAATTATACAAACATTTATCTTTGTCCTCGACGAGTGATAATATATCATCCTGGAAGTTTTCAATACTAAAGTAAGCTTTTTCCATTGATTCAAATTCGGTTCTAGTCGTTTTGATAGTAATCTTGACTGCCTTCGTATGATATAATTTTTATGGGAAAGTTAGGTTTCACATTGTTAGATGAATTTCAGATCAAAACTTTTATTGTTGTTGAAAAGATAATAAGCACTTTTTGTATCTCTCTCTCTCGCATCTTATAGTAAAGAGATTTTGCTTAAGAAGTTGATTTCTTTTGTGATTAGTTGTAATAATATACCACAACATAGCTGATCAATAAAAAAAGAAGCAAATCTATTATAGTATTTGAGCTGGCTACCAGTTAATTTGGAATGTCTAAAACAAAAAAACTTTGGAAGATTTAGATTTCCAAATACATGATGCTCTCACTATCATCCCAACAACCTAAGACCAACCAATTCAACTCAACGCTACCAAAAAGTGGAATTTTTCCACTTGCTCTCAATATCCTGAAAAAGTCTAATGTTCTTATGTCGATCCTTTGTCCTATCTCATTTCTCTCCAAATCATAAATGAAAAAGTGTAGTGCAGGTAGGTTATATATCAAACAGTGCCAGGGTCCATGTCGATTCAGCGCGTCAGCTACCGTAAAAAACCAAACCTTACCGCTGTGACTAGTGCCACACATCAGCACCTGATCTCCTCCGACAATATTCATCTGAGAAAGAGGCAACACAATAGTCTTGTTTGACCATTGACTCTTCTCAGCATCTTCAAGAACCCAAACATTCGCAATACCATCATTCATCATAGGCCTCGAGTATTCAAAAACAGCTATATTGTCTCTGTAGTTCATGAGTCTGGTCCAAGAAACAGCCGTGGTATAATTGGGTAGTTCGATCAATTTGAACTCTTCAGAACTCAAGTCAAAACTCATAAGTACATGGCCACTATAGACACCACTCGAAGCTTTATAGTACAAAACACCGTTAATGGTCACCCCTTGCTCGTAAGGATCATGAGGAATGTGGCATTGAATCTTTCTCCATGAAGCTCCAGCTCCAAGTACCAACACATGATGTTCTGAAGACTTCTTTGAGATTTCGAATACCACGCTAAGCACTTTGTATTCATCATGAACAGGATCGTGTCCAAAATAGTGCATCTTATGTTTCTTCCCTATGGCTTCAGATCTCATTACGGGCAATTCCACAACCTGCCTCGTGTTGATGTTACAAATCCGCACTCTGTTCTCAAATGTGAAACAGGCCTAGCCACGAACAACGCTTACGAAGTTGCCTTGCATTCCAGGCAAGTTCAGAAATTGGTCGAGTAAAGAGACAGATGTGTCCGAGTGATCACGGGCCGATGATGCGAGCCACACATAGTTGTCCTTATCGTCCACAAAATACGCGAACGAACGAAGACGTGATGAGCAAGGTTTAAGGAAAAGGTTGGTCAAGTATCTAGAGGAGATAAGAGAAAGCCATTGCTTTGAGACGCACTTGAATCTCATCAGAGATTTCACTGGCGATGTCATCAGAATCTCGACCACGAGTTCCTCGGAGATCACCGGTAAGACCGCGTCCTTCGTTTTCTTCTTCCCCACGGCAAGAGACAAAGAGGATCCCATAGTTTTGTGTTTCCGAAGCCTCTTTACAAACCTTGGTTCATGTATGTAATTTATAAGACATAAAAAAAGGCTCACTAAATTATATATTTCCTTTTTAATGTTTTGTACTTATGCCCTATATAATAGTTTGGCAACGGAAAAGGAAAGAAATCCTCTTTAGATTCATTCACCAATTAACCTAATATTTTAGGGTTCATAATTTTGGGCTCACATACACAACTTGGTGGATATCGTTCGGCATCCGGAGAAGTGGCATGCGTTCTCGATTTTATCAGCTAAGTTCAGGGAGTTGCGCGAGCGTTTTTCCCAATTTTCTTTAACCCTTATTTCTCGCTCTCTTAATTTACAGGCGGACTGTTTGGTCCGTTCCACACGAGTTAGAGCTTTTATGTTTTCCTATGTAAACAACATTTCGCCTAATTGGATTAGACATTTTCTAAATAGTTTGGTTGACAAAAAAAAAAATTTGGGCTCACATACACTATAATAATTTACTAGAAAATTACCCGCGTTATACACGGGATAATATGATTATCGAGTAAAATCAATATAGTTTTAATTAAACAAAATCCAAGACTCGTTTATATATATAAATTTTGTAATTATTTTGTATAGAAATGTATTCTATCCGTGAAATAACTGAAATCAACAA